ACTCAAAATTAAAAAATCATGCCACTATTCCAGAGACAGAGATAGAATAGTATTCACCACAAATATTTCCTGTTATTTTCACGATTTCCCTTGTCTCCAGTTCTATTAGTCACCTAACTTCGCAGTGATTTTACATAAACATAATTTTTACAAAATATTGAGTAAGACATTTAATAAAGAGAAGAGAAGAGAGAAGATGGAAAGGGAAGGGAAAAGAAGGCAGGGAAGGGAAGAGAAAGGGAAGGGAAGGAAGGAAGGCAAGAAGGAAAGACCTTTAAATGGTCACTATGTGCACAATATACCAAAGAACTGCCAACAAAAGTAATATGTAATTTAAAATGTGCGTAATTTTTGTTATATTTATAATAATATATAATAGTAAATTGCTAATATTTTGAAGTGGAAACTTAATTATACTAGGTCAACAGCCAATAGTTGAAATAGAAATCGCACATCCCATCCATTATTGAGCAATCGAGGTAACTACGATAGTCCTGAAGTAACTATTTCGTACTTAGAAGATGACATAATACTTTTTAAATAGAGGAGATACATGCACCCAGCATATAGACCTGAGCAGAAACACTCAATGTATGGTAGACATTTGGGGACTAATTACATAATTTTGTATTTAAGTAAAGTTTCAAAAAAATTAGAAATGGGTGGGGAAAGACTTAGATGAATTGATATGAAATGAAATAGGATAATCTCTAAGATGTACAGTTGAACTGAAAATGAGACTGCAAAACAAAGTTGGTAATATTTAACTATGGTTTAAAAAAGGGAGTTGAATGTGTGCACAGACATTAATATTTATATGTTATTGCATGGAAGTTCCAAGAAGGAAGCAGCAAAATACTGATGGTGGTTATTGGAGGAAATGAATATTGTGGGAACTCTGAAAACCCTGAACCAAAAGGAATGGCTCAGAAGCACGAGTTCTCTGCGATCGTCCACTCTCCTTTGCCCAAGATAAGCCACAGAATCTGGGGTTCCTCTCTCCAAAGGCAGGTCATGGCGCTAGAAGCCCTTTTCCCTAAGGAAAACCATGAAGTCTACCAGCATCAATCTGCTGCTACCTTTCTGTTTCACAGGTAGCCATAAAGAAGTTCTCTCACCCATCTTGTCTGACAGAGATCACAAGATCCTGTGTCACAATCCTCCACTGGAACTCCACACTGAAGAATGGTGTGGGCAGAGGCCAAGAGGAACCTGGACAGATGGGCCTTGCTGTTTTCTTCACTCCTCCTACTAGTGTTAGAGAAGCTCACATTGTGTGTGTGTGTGTGTCCAATTGTATTTGTTTTTGTTTGTTTGTTTGGTCATGGGGCTTGAACTCTGGGCCTGGGCACTGTTCCTCAGCTGTTCAGCTCAAGACTAGTGCTTTACCACTTGAGCTACAGCGCCACTTCCGGCTTTTTCTATTTATGTGGTGCTGAGGAATTGAACTTAGGGCCTCATGCATGTGAGACAAGCACTGTACCACTGAGCCACCTTCCCAGCCCCTGTCCGGTTACATTTCAACATAGGTATTTAGACCTCATGATACCTAATCATAGCTTACCCAGGGTCTTTGGAGCAGTTTCTGTGCTATGTGGAAATGAGGATGGAAGAAATACATTAGGACCTTCTCTGCCTTTTGGTACAGGGTTGTCTGCCGGCAACTTTTATAATAGGTGAAAAGGGGCTCTTCGTCCTTACAACATGGACTAGAATGCATGTCGATGTATTTCTTGCATTATTATCTTAAAGAAGAAGGATAAACACTGGCCATAAGTTTCACTGTTGTCATCATGCCTTGGTCTAGGAGAGGACCATGCTGAGGGGGTCTCCCTGCTACCCATCCAGTTAGCCAGCGCCTAACTGCTTCTCCGAGGCTCTGGCTTCAGTGCGGCTGCCTCCAGAGCTGTCGGACATCTTTATCTTACACGTAACAATACCTTCTGTATCCTTTCCCTTCTGGATCCTTGTAGTTTAAAACTAACAAGAAATGTGAATAGATCATCTTCTTGCTTTCAAGTGTTAAGTACCATTGTTTCCTTCTATTATTAACTTGACTGGTAATGTATCTTAAGATACCCTGAAACCACCAGATTTCTTTATCTGATGAATATTTATTAATATCTTATATAACTTCCAGGTACTAATTTAACCAGTGAAAACAGAGACATGGGTAAGATCGTTCAAGCTCCTGCCATAGCCTATTCTGTGCTGCTGTAACCACATACCCAAGGCACGGTACATTAGAAAGAAAGGAGGTTGATTTAGTTTACAGTGTGGAGAGTCAAGAACATGACACTGGCTTATGCTTGTGTAGCTAGATCCATGTGGCAGATGGCCTTACAGGGACAAGCACACCTGCCCAGATCACATGTGGAGACAGGAAGTGAGTCTAGCCAGGGAGAAAGCTCACTCTGTTTAAGATCACATTCTTGGGATGGCAGGCTCACTCCAATGCTGGAGCCTCCCCTGTGAGCCCAGCATGAATCCAGGAATGACTTCCTACTTCCTGTGAGTCCTCACCTCTCCAAAGATGGCACCTCAGCCATACCACCATGCTGGAGATGAAGCTTCTAGAACACTCATGTTTCAGGGCACACCAAAGTCATATTTCTGGTGAAAACTACCAAAAAAAAAAGGACAAACAACACAAGAAAGTGTGTTGATACAGTCTGAATGTTCGTCCCAGGGGAGGGCATGTGGAGGGCTAAGTCTTGGTGAATGCAATTAGTGTCCTGGAGAGAAGCTGAGCAAGAATGTTCACACCTCTGTGGTGCGAGGTGAGACTTCTGGGCTAAATGTCCCTGAGGCAGTGGACTCCACACCCAAAGCCTTGGCCTCCAGAGCTGCGAGAAAGAAATTTCTATTGTTTTACAGCCACCCGGATTATGGCATTTGGGTATAGCAACCAGAATAGATGCACACCCATTGATAGCACAAGGGCAGGAAGTGAAGAGCCCTGAAGGCAGCTGAAGCGCCGGCCAGGGAGGGTGTGTGTCCTGAGGGAGGGTGAATGGTGTGGAGGAGGTGACTGGGGCCCCAGACTTAAATGAAGAGAGCAAGTCCCTGCAACACCCCAGTGAGGACCGATCCTCTCCACACACTCCGTGACTCCGGAGAGCTCGGGCCTGGAAACAAGAGAAAAACAGCCTCAACATTTTCAAAAAGAGAAAAACTCCCCTTCTGGTGATGGCCTGGCCCACCGTGGGAGTAGAAAATCATGACATAAGTGCTCACTTCTGAGGCTCTATGCTAGGGAAAAGGAGAAGCCCTTCCCAAGCAAACTACCCGGCTGACAAGGACTAATGGTTTTAACTATTCCTCACAAGAGACAGACAAATTCCTGAGCCACCCCTCGACCGAAAAACAACTTTCCTTCAGGGTTTTGATGGGGTTCCGACCATCTGTCAAAGTGAAATGTATTGGTAGAAAAAATCTCCCTGGCTCAACGTGAAACAATGAGAGGAAGTCCCCACCAGCATCCCAGCCCAGGATGGAAGGAACTCAGTTTGCACAGAAGGTGATTGTGAGAAATCCAATCATCCATTCTACCAAACAATACTCTTTAGAAAGCACAGCTTTTCATTATACAAAACATATAGACTTAAACATATATGCAGCAATGGAAGAATCTTGCTTTATGTTTCAGAGAAGTAGATAATACGGCAATAAATTGTATGTTTTTTATTTTAGTTTTTTCAAATGGCATGTTCTTTTGATTCACAGTCTTAATAAGCTTTGTCACTTAAGAGTAAAAACAAAAGCAGAAGTGAAATGTGAACCTTTCTCAAGCAGTAGAATTATTTACTGAATGGTGTGGAGATAAATTTCAGCAGAAAATATTACAGAGGTGAGATTTACTTGCTTGTTGCATTCTTTACATTTTCCAAAACACCCTTGTGCATCTGTTAATTGCCAGTACATTTTATAGTTAATTTAAATTCATAAAAATGGAGACAAAGGAAAGAACAAGAGCATTTTGCTAAAAGTGGGGAGTGGGCATTAGTATGGGATGCATGTCCTTCATTGCTTCCTAGGAATTCTCAGGAATGCATTAGATTTCATCAAAATAAGTCACACTAAATAACGTTATTCCTGAGTCTTAGGGTAGATAACAGTTTTTAACACAGTTATTCAAAGATTTCGCTAGCCAAATCACAGAATGCATTTCAATGCAGGTATTTATTTGGTACGCTGTAATTCTTATTTCTGGGCTTAGCTGACTCAATACATGCTAGAGAAGCTCACAGACACAAAAGACTGTTGGAAATCTCAGTGTCTGACATTTCCAGAAGACTTTCCTGGAACTCTTTCCTCCCTCTACTTGCTCAAACCTTTCCTGGAGACACAAATTCTATGATCCCTGTGCCTAACATTAAGGTCACTGAAAGTTTTGCTCTTATCTTTCCCCTGCCTGGTTTAAAGTCGATTCTTTCAGTGCAGAAACTATCGTTTTCATCTTTAAATACCAACTAAAAGTGTAACAAAAATTGCAGGTAAACGTCAGGAGACATATATGAAGTCACTTTTCAAAATGAATATACCAAGTAGAGCATGCCATATGCTGACTGTCAGTAAGCAACTGTGATTTCGAAATGCAGAATAGTAGCTAAAACCAATCATAGTTCAATGGAATATGGAGTTCTGAATAGTGGTCTTTGAATTCTATGTTTATGGCAGTTCAGGGACCAGAAAACTGTTTTCTCAATGTCCTATAAATTGTAGCTGAAAGGTTAGCGGTTTCCCCCTATGGCACCGGGGCTGGGAAGACACCACGAACTATCTCTTGGCCTGAAACAGCTTTGGAAGCTGCAGGAGAGGAGGGTACTCGGTAACTGAGCGGAGGAAATGACGAGAAGGAAATTGTTTTGTGTCTCAGGAACCATGTGGAATTCCAAGATAAGAAAAACAGTTGCTAATTTGAGTATAAAAGCAGGAAACATGATACACTTATTTCCTTTCATGCAAACACAAGTCTATGAGGGCTTGTGTGAAAATTATTTTTTTCTCTTGCTGAACCACAGCGGCAGAGAATCAGACTGCTTCTTTTGGACACACTGGCTTTGCTTTCTGTCTTCTCTTGCTTGTGGAGACTATGGCTAATAACACGACAAGTTTAGGGAGTCCGTGGCCAGAAAACTTTTGGGGTAAGATGTTTTCTTTAATTGCTTTGAATGTTAACCTGTCACATACAGAGAAATGTGCTGTATATCTTAACACGAACTGAAAAAAATCTCTGAGGTGCTTTGTTTGCTGTAAACCGATCACTGATAGTATTCCTAGATTTATTACAAGAAATATACTCCTATAAAGTATCTAGAGTGGGCCTTTTGAAACATTAACAAGAATCTGGGATAGAGATTTTGGCTAGTGTGACAACAAAGTATAGCTAGACAATAACGAGACTGAAGCACAGAATAAAAAGAAATAGAAGGTAGAAATAACTGGCATTTGGAATGTGACAAGGCAGTTTTTAGAGGAAAAATTATATTTCAATGTCTGAAAGTTGTGATCCTATGTTTTATTTAATGGAAACAAGATAATCTCGGAGGTTCTGTCCTGTTTTGTTTTACAATTTACAAGGCAAATGCTATACTCTACTTTTGAAGTGGTTCTACATAGTGAATCTATACTTCAGGTGATTTTTAAAAGTATCATGACACATATAAGACATGGATTAATGTTAGGAAGTTAGACAAGTTGAAGTGAAAGTAACATTGTATGGCTCACCATGGAAGTCTGTCACCCAGAGGAGAGCCATGTATTTTGGCTGAATTGAGTCACAACTACTAGTCCAGAGTTCGCAAGGCTGAGGAGAAACCCCCAACTACTCACTCCAGACTGAGGTCCAGGGAAGGAAGACAGAGGTGCAGTTGATACACGGAGCTCCTCCAGGAGCTCCCGTTGAAAGCAATGATATTATAGAGATATCTACAACCCTATTTACATGTTCAAAGCGAGTTTTGAATCCTATCAGAAAGCCATGTGAGACTTCTAACTCTCTGAGGAGGGGATGTTTTGGGTGCTTCAGGTGAGAAGTGGCGAGCTCCCCCCCTCCCCCCGGGCCTGAGCAGCTGGTCCAGGGTCCCCAGACCACAAAAATGAGCCAAGAGGAATTCATGAATTCTTCTTAGCAATAACTATTTCTGTTCACTTCCAGGTTGAAGAGCTGATGAATGTCTTAATAAAAGTATATAGTAGAATCTGTGAGAAAAAAAGGAGTCTGTGCTTACATATCATAGAGAATGGCTCTGATAATATTGGAGATTATTATTTTATTTACATGTCTAACAACAATATGTTTTTGAATTCTAGGGGTGGTGGTCTCAGTATATATTTGTAAAAGTGTTATTTATTTGCCGTTCTTATTTATAGAGACAGAAAATATACTAGACATGTGCTAAAAAGTAGAATGCACCTAAATTCATCATTGTAAAGCAAGTTACTGTATAATCTACTACAAAGCAAAGTCACTTATATTGCAAAAACTAATATGCAAAAAGTGGGATTGACTCTTGCCAACTATTCAAAATTAACTTTCCGGCTTGAGAGGAAAACAGTTTATTTTACAAAGATAAAAACATGAGTAGAGCTTCAGTGTCTAAGAAGGTGCTTAGTTAGGGCCCCTCCCCTGGTGCTTAAATTCAGATAGGTGAATAAGTAAATCTGTGCTTAGAAAGGAATTTACGCTTCATGTGTTAAAAATAACATCCCATGTTAGCGTTGCTGTTTGTTTTGGTTTGGGCATTTCTTGTCCCCTTAGGGAGGGCAAGAAGGGGTCACAGGAATGGAGGGAGGAGGGGAGAGCTATTGCAGTCATGGTACTCAATGTATACTATGTACAAAATGAACTATGCAAACTGTGGGCAGAGATCCAAGAGGGAAACTAGGAGAAAGCAAAGGAAGGGGTGACATTGTCCAAGAAGACTTGTATTCATTCATTCCCTGACTTATGGAATTGTCACCCACTGCACAACTCCTTAATAACAATGAAGTGATCTTAAGGATAGATCCTAATAGTCATTTATCTTGGCATGTGAATTTAGTGAAAATAGATGTGAATAATAAAACTAAGAAGGAAAGAGCTGCATTCAAAAGCATCAAAACCAATGCATACACGGTGAGTGGATAAAATGTTGATTTGAGTAAAATAGATGAAAGATGGAAGAAATTGTGTATAAAATGCAGTATGTGTCTCATATATCTTACACAGTAAATATAAAGTTTTTCTCAATGTATTTCCTGAGATTCAAATTGTCAAGCTTTTCCATTTCCATTCTCGTTCTCTACCTAGGTCGATATTTATTTTGACCACTGATTCCTGTCAAATATATATATATATATATATATATATATATATATTTAATCTTGTATAGTGCACTGTCTGTTTGGCACTTAGAATTATAAGATTAAAAAAAGGCTTACACAATCAAAATTTGTCTATGGAACTGTAGAAACTCCTCAGCCGGAGCACATTCAGGATATATACAATTTCTTGTCCATGTCTAACTTCCCTGGTTCCATTTAATGAATGCTAACAATGTAAGACGCTGACGCCTGCTCATGATCACAATTGATAACTTGCGCCTTGGTAGCTTTAAAGCTTCCTGTAAGTTCTGTAAGACTTCTGCAAGCTCCCAAACAGGCCTAAGATCCTAAGAACCACACTTGCCAACTATCCTGTCAGCAGGGAAGGCGCTTGCTTGCCAGAGCTGGCAGCCAAGCTGGCCCCAGTGTAACCACATCGGTGCGTTCTGTCCCAGCACTGCCCACCGTGGCTCTGTCTCCTGCTCATCCCTTCTCTACGAATCTTCCCATCAAGGCAGCAGGCAGCACAACTCCATGCCCACTGCCCCCCCCCATCTCTGCTGTGCCTGATGCTCACAAAACAGGAAGCAGTGTCATTGCGTTCAGTTATCCCCGTAGTACTGGAGAGTCCCATATTTTATGCCTATGGACTACCTTATCATTCATTGGTTGGTTTTGTTTTTCTCCTTGGCACACACGAAAAATTGGGAGAAGAGAATGGTATCTTGGTTTGCATTTATTCATCTATTTAACCCTGAGCAATAGTAATGTCTCAAGAGGATTATATTCTTGGAGGTGATAATGTGTCCATCCATATGCAAATATAAGCCCTTCACATATTATCCATCGTTGTGAATGAAAATATGTTTACAAGAATTAAATATCACTTTGAGATGGTCCTGAAGCCAATAACTTTCCTCTTAGACAGAAAAGCGCCAAATTGGCCCATAGTTCTAAGAATGACACACTTGAGTCGTTCACTTTTTTCACTCATTAACTTGTCTTCATTCAGCTCGAAATTTACTCCGAAGCCTTGGCTGACACTAGACACTGTGTCAGGGGTTAGTGACACACAGTAGGCACTACTCCCAAATGTCGGGGAGCTGAGAGTTGTTATTAATAACGATGGAAATCAGAAGCCCTCAGCCACACAGTGAGGGCTGGAACAGCTCCTAGAAGCTTGCCTATGGACATCCCAGGGAGAGTTGAAAAGGTGGGCAGGCCAGAGGCAGATTTCTGTAAGATTCTGAATGCTGGTGCAAAAGTGGGCCCTAATTCAGCCCCAGTATCTTACAGATCAGTCGGTACCTCCTCTCCCCCTGTCTTTTTAGGACATTTCTCTAAGGCTGGACAGGAAGTGTGGGAGGATACAGACTATAGCCTATCACAGATAGTCAATCACAGATACTGGAGGAAGGGGACCTTTGGCTCTTCATCAAGTTCTGCTGACACGTAGTGACAGGTTATTTCTCATCTATTTGGGGGCTGCTCATCCTGTGTTCCCCTCGAACGCCTCTTACAGTACAATGGCACAGCAGTAGCTAAGACTGTCCTGACAAATCATGCTGTCTACGGCCCCTTCCTGCTTCCTATTCCTTCTAAGAGGTTTAATTTGACTGAGTTAGCATGGAAGCATGAGGTGCTTTCATGCCTTTGTGAATTCTAACACCTCAGTCATAACTAGCTTTGTGGCTGGGTCTTGTCTATTAAGAATGAGTCACATTTTCCCATTTCTTCAGATGTGGAGTCATTTTATATTGTATCCAGGACATGCTGAATGTGTTCTACTATATTGCCCTGGATAAGATCATATTTATGTCCCTACCTTGCTTATTTTCACAAGCAAATTACTTTGTGAACCTTTAACCACAAAAGCCAGCAGCTCAGAAAGGGAGACTCCACACAGCAGCCCCTGAACTCAAACTGGTTTTCTAAACCTGATGAGATTATCTACAACTCTACTCAGATTTTTAAAACTCTTTTTAGGCATGATTATGGTATGGGAAATTTTTGTGGTTTTTTTTTTTTTTTTTTTTGAGTCCGGTCGTGGGGCCTGAACTCTGGGCCTGGGCGCTGTCCCTCAGCTCTTCAGCTCAAGGCTAGCGCTCCACCACTTGAGCCACAACACCACTTCCGGCTTTTTTCCTTTTGCTTATGTGGTGCTGAGGAATCAAACCCAGGGCCTCAGGCATGCAAGGCAAGCGCTCTACCACTGAGCCAACTTCCCAGCCCGGTATGGGAAATTTTTATTCTAGATTCTTCTCCCTCAACTTCATATTTTGGTAGGTTTCTGGTGACATCAAAGAGAATTTGAAAATACTTTAACTTTCTGTTATGCACTTGGTCTCAGGGACTAGTCTACAACAGGCAGATGAGTTACCTTGTTCCTTGAGAATCCAGCCTGTATTCGTGCCACACTATTGGCTAATGAGACTCCAACTTTGTCACTTCCAAACTCACAACTACTTCCCAAATTTTATAACCCATTGTTTGTTACCCTCTCTCTAAACATAGAAGCATCTCAAATTTTATTTCTTTCACAAAGCTTTTCTAACTATTCCAAATACAAGTCATAATTATGACCTATCATGTCTATGCATCTCATTTACTTCTCTTTTTTTTTTTGGTGCCAGTCCTGGAGCTTGAACTCAGGACCTGGGTACTATCTCTGAGGTTTTTTGCTCAAGGCTAGCACTCTACCACTTGAGCTGCAGCTCCATGTCTGGCATTTGGTGGTTAGTTGGAGATGTGAGTCTCGCAAGTTTTCCTGGACTAACTGGCTTCAAACCTTGATCTTCAGATCTCAGCCATTTACTTCTTTATATCTATCTCTATCTAT